AAATGGTTGCTGCTGCAAGCTCCCGCAATCCTACACTTGCTAGCGCTCTGACGAGGCTTCAAAGGTGTGCATTTAGTGGAAGCTGGGAGGTAGGGCCGTTTGCAAAGGACTATTCCTTTTCTTTATTGTTTACAAATACTTGGCGATATGGGGTGAGATAGTATGACATCTTATTTGATGCCTTTCTGTTTTTTCTCGATTGTACTGTTAAACTTGTAGATCCGTATTGCTGCTGTCCAAGCCCTAACTACCATTGCAATAAGGTCTGGTGAACCTTATAGACTGCAGATATATGAATTTCTTCATGCTTTGGCTCTTGGGGGTGTGCAGTCAAACTTTTCAGAATTGCAGCTAAGTAATGGGGAAAATCAAGGTGCCAGTGGTACTGGTCTTGGATCTTTAATAATCCCAATGCTTAAGGTCCTAGATGAAATGTATAGAGCTCAAGATGATCTTGCCAGGTATATTTGACATTAAAATTCCTCATGGTTGCTCTATAAAAGGTCTTGAGGTGGCCTCATTTTTTTATTCTTTTTTTATGTCTTATTTTTGCAGAGATATTCGCCAGCATGATAATAGCAAACAGGAATGGAGTGATGAGGAACTTAAGGAACTTTATGAAACCCATGAGAGGCTTCTTGATTTTGTTTCCTTATTCTGTTTTGTTCCAAGGGCTAAATACTTGCCCCTTGGTCCTACCAGGTATGTACTATTGTAATTATTAAAGGGCAGTCATCTTCTACTCCATCTGTTCTAAATTATAAGTCGCTTTGATTTTTTTGGTACATCCATTTTGCTATGCATCTAGATATAATAATATGTCTAGGTACATAGCAAAATGGATGAACCAAAAAAGTCAAAGCGACTTATAATTTGGAACAGAGGGAGTAGATAAAATTATTGTTGACTTGAAATCTTACTTCGTTGCTGAAATTGCCTAAGGAAAAACTTGACCAACCTAGTAGGAACTAGGCGGCATTGTAAATAATAAGAAAAAGGACTTGAACCTGGTTGGTGGGGGTGTACATTCACACCGCCCACCAACTGAGCTAGGATCAGTTTCTTGCTAAAAATTGTCTAAGAACTAAATATTCGGTTCACCAGTCACAAATGAAGTCTAGAGCCTTGTGTCATCCTACAATAAATGAAAGGTACATTAACCTGATCAGTCTGGATCACTTTCAGTTAGGTGTGCTTCGCTGTCCAGAGGCTCTGGTCCATGTTGTTGGAAGTATGCCAAAAAATAGGCCCTATTGATATAATGTAACTAGCTAAAATTCTTTTACAGTCAACTAGATACATTTGAATCAAACTAAGCAGGTATTAATTTACCTACTTAGTTTGATCTAAATGTATCTAGTTGACCGTGCATGTTAAAGCAATCCATTACAAGAATCAACATTTTTCTAATAGTTCCTGTGCGCTTGTGCATAAATGGATGCCTCCTGTTATTTCTTTTGCTGGGATACATTATTTTGTTAGTATCCTATCTCTTGATATTAAGTATGTTCAACTGTATGGACAGTGCCAAACTAATTGAGATCTACCGCAACCGTCATAACATAAGTGCATCTGGTGGTCTAAGTGATCCTGCTGTTGCCACTGGAATATCTGATCTTATGTATGAGTCCAAAGAAGTACAAAAAGAGACCAATACTGTCCAGTCTGGGATCGATCCCGATCTGGCAATGGCCTGGGCAGCAGGTTTGGAAGACGATGTTTGGGCAAACAATGCTCCAGCTGTGGATAAAGTAAGATTCTTTGTTGTGTTTTGTAAATCACTACTGTTATGTATCGGCTTTCTACCTGTTTGAGGCCTATTTTTTTAGGAAAATGGCTTTTTTCTATGAAAAAGGAAGATGACTTCATTTCTTAGTCATTTCTGGATAATTACCCTTTTCTTCATTGAATGAGCTTAATTTGGGAGCGACAATTTTTTTTAGCCATTGTCATTGGGACTGTTTGATTGAATTGTAGGTAAAGGACTTCCTTGCTGGTGCTGGAACTGATGCTCCTGATGTGGATGATGAGGAATACATGAACTCGAGGCCATCAGTCGGCTATGATGATATGTGGGCTAAGACAATTCTTGAAACATACGATGCAGAGGTAAGTATTGCTACACATGCTCAGTGTAGTTTGCTCCACATGCTTCCTAAATGTGTACAGATAGTTAAGCTTAGCTAATCATTCATTGCAGGAAGATGATGGTAGGTACTCTGGTGGATCCTCTCCCGAATCAACTGGTTCTGTTGAAACCTCCATATCGTCCCATTTTGGAGGCATGAACTATCCATCACTGTTTAGTTCAAAACCGTCAAGCCATGGGGCCACACAACAAACGGTATATTCTGCTGCATCTATGCTATGTTTATTTCTTTGGTGTTGTGGAGGGGAGGGGGTGCTAGAAAACACGTCTACTTAACATTGTTGTTGTCTGAGTTTATACAAAGCAGACATTGTACTGTACAATTTAAAACCATTTTACGGAATGGATGGATATGGTTCCTCCGCCTTTGTTTCAGATACGTGAAGAACCACCTTCATATTCGACGTCAGTACTACAGAGGAAGGAGTCATTTGAAAACCCCCTTGCAGGGCGTGGAGGACGAAGTTTCGGATCCCATGAGGATGAAGATAAGAGTTCTGGTAACCCTCAGTCTGGGAAAGCTTTGTATGACTTCACAGCAGGTGGTGATGATGAGGTACGAGGGTAGCAATCCTTTTTGTTGTTTATCTTATAAATTCCTGAAGTGATCCTTCCATGTTCAGAGCTTGATGGAATGTTGGTTCTGAAGTCTTTCTTTGTCCCAGGGTAAAAGATGTTTATAAGTGATTCACTATCTTTACTATTGGGAAATAATTGTTATTAATGTATTATTTTAACTATCCAGTTCAGTGTCAAATATCTCCAAAAAAAACAAAGAAGCCTCTTTTATTTTGAATGAAAACAAGAGAACACTTGGTTAGGTTCAGTTCCAAGTTGGAAATTGTTTTTTTGGGGGACCCTCACCCATCAAGCTAGTCTTTAGGGTTTAGGCTCAATGCCATGGTTAATTGTGGGTTCCGGTGGCCTGGTGTGGCACCAACTTCTATAGATGGTGATCTGGGTTGAATCTGCTTGCACTCTAACACGCTTATTCATTATTCATGTACATTGTTTTGTTTTTCAGCTGAATTTAATCACTGGAGAAGAAGTGGAAATTGAATATGAGGTCGATGGTTGGTATTATGTAAGTTCCCATCTCACCATAGATTTTACTTGTCTTTGATTTCAAACGAACAGATTTTAAAGTTGGCGATTATTTTTGTGTGCTCAGGTGAAGAAAAGGAGGCCTGGAAGGGATGGAAAGATGGCAGGTCTGGTTCCTGTTCTGTATGTGAGTTCATGATAACAGCCGTGTGTATCGTTTCCCACACTTGTGGAAGCTATTTGGAGTTCATGAGCTTAAGATTGGCACGTGGGAATGCTCCTGAGAGATCTTTGCATAAACTTGTGTCCCTAACGTCTTATAGGCACATGGCCTTGTGGAATGTCATATCCAATCATCTTGGGGTTCGTATGATGCTGCAACGCTGTTCCTGGGTGTTGATTTGTCTGTACCCACACCACGAGTTCATTCAATTGATTTTTTTTTTTTTTTTTTTTTTTTTGCTAAGGTGGACACTTACTTTAGAGGTTAACCGTTCATCTGTGCCATTTTGCTGCTGTGTTCAAGAAGGCTACTTCGTCGTCTCCAGTTCATGTTGTGCAATATATTTCATCTGTCCCTTATTATTTTGGTCTTGTGTATGGCGTGATTCTGTAAAGTAGTGTTGTTAATCTTGTATATTTGTTTCCGGATGGATTATGGAGTATACAATACAATAGTGAATTCACATGCAACATTGTTTGTTTACTCTACTACTTTTCCTATCATTGATCTAAAGCCGCAGTTTTGTTCAAGATCAGCAGGCTAAAATTTGTTACCGAAGTCCGGGACGGCACCGACATAATGCTAAAAACTTTGACTGGGGCCTGTTCGCGGCTGCCGCTTATCCAGTCGCGCTACAATGTTTTGCAGCAGTTAAAATCACTTAAAAACCTGCTGCAGCGAACTGGACCAAGGTAGATGATGGAGAAAGAACGTGATTGGACCAAAAGTTATTTTGAAAATATGGTTTCTAGTGTCTACCTTAGCAAGCATGAGTTGGAATTGGAACTGCGCTAACGTTGCCATGCTCCTGGCCATTTTACCCATTTGCCTTTGGAAATGTCGCCCTGTCGCGTCCGTGTCGCCCTGCACAAGGCGGAGCATTTCTTTGCTCGCCTGTCCCCAGCTTGCTGCCGAACTCCTTGATCGCGACTTGCATCAAAATAGCCCGATCAGGATAACGAAGAGGGCACTCCGGATACAGAAACCATGGTAGTTTTTACCACATAGGCAATTTGTTGACGTGGCAAATGTGGCAAATGAGTAAAGAAAAGAAATCTAAGAAACTAATGAGTTGTTTGGCTGATGGTTTCTACGACTGATAAGTCAGCTAAAGCTGTTTTGTTCACAGTACTAATAAACCAGGCTGATAAGTTGAAACGAACATAGCTTCTCTAACTAAGAAACTTGATCTTCACGGGATAAGAAACTACTGTGATAGCGTTGGGAGAGTAAATATGATTTCTATCACTATTTGTCATATGCTATAGAAAATATTGTATTGAAAATGATAGTTTTTTTTAGTACGATGTCCTGTGCTATGAAAAATACTGGTAGTTTCTTATCCTGAGAGTGCCAGACTGCGGAGTGGGTAAGGTCTCGTTCGCTTCGCTGAAAGTTGAAATATTGATCCGGACTGATTTGTTGGAAGAGAAAAATATTATTTTAATTAAAAAAAAGCTAAAAAAGATATATTATAAGATAAGTGAACGTATACGTGCACGTCTCACCAAGGCAACGCACCGCGGCCTGTGAAGCAGCGCAGCGCAGAGCGGAAGGGACAGGGACAGCAACCGCAACGTACGGATGGGGAGGAGCGGCGGCGAGGCGGCGGGGAAGAGGCAGCAGTTCGGGAGCATGGAGGAGTTCTGGGGCTTCTACCTGAGCCAGCACTCCAAGCCGGGCACGCGGCGGTGGCACTTCATCGGCACGCTGGCCTCGCTCGCCTGCGCGGTGCTCGCGGCCTCCACTGGCCGCGCCGCGATCCTCCTCGCGGGGCCCGTTCTCGGGTACGGCATGGCGTGGTACAGCCACTTCTTCGTGGAGGGCAACCGCCCTGCCACGTTCGGCCACCCCGTGTGGTCTTTCATCTGCGACCACCGCATGTTCGTGCTCATCCTCACCGGCCGTATCGACGCTGAGCTCGCCCGCTTCCGCGTCCGGCCGACGCCCGACGCCGCGGCGGCCTCTGCACACCAGGACTGATCCGTATCCTCGATGGCTCGATGCTCGTCTGTTACGCGTATCGTGTTTGAAGCTAAGCCCTAAATCAATCGATTACCAGCAGGCAGTTCCTACCTTCTTCGTGGTAATATCTGTATCAATAACCGTTTCAACCTGTTCTACAATAAATACCATGTTCTTGCTTTCTGTGATTGGTCTAATCTTATCGACTCTTTATGTTCGGTGTGGTTGAAGGCAATTTCAAAACGACATAGAATTCTCACCTTGTTTATTTTGAAGGTTTGATTGTTTCTAGAGCCTTAGAATTGGAACACAGAAATTGATTTGACTGCTGAACCATGATTAAAACTTTATTCCTTGCCATTCACAGCCAGAACACAGAAATCTAACTCGTAGCACGCTTTTTTCCAAGTAGTAAAAGTTACAAGAATTTCGACGCAGAATAGTGAAGATACGGGCATCATTGATCCGTGGACAACCAGTGTGGTTCCTTATTCTGATGGTGGAAAGCACTCGTCTGAATTCTCATGGCTGGAGATATACAGTCGCTCAGCTGTCGCTTCTGCTCGGCTTGTCTGACGCCGGGTACACCTGAAAGGAAGCAACAGCGATGCGTTCATGAGTTAGAAACCATATCACTCGTTGACGAAAAGTGGAGTGGAGGAACGCCCACTGAAGCCGACCCTGCATAGGATAAACTGGAACTGTGCGCCAATCTTACCGTGTCAGGTGACGGGATCCACTCATTGGTAGCAGGGTTTCCCTTGCAAGAAGCATGGCGCTCCTCTGCATTTGGGTCTTCAGACAATTTGAACGAGGCGCCCTTAGCTTTGTCTATCTTGATGAAGCCCGTTCCGGTCTGCTCGCACGCGCGGTATTTGCACAGATTCGCAGGTTATGTTAGTCAAAATAGCAGTAAGCAGTTCATGGCCAAAACCATGCATGGAAGTATGCAACTGGAAGCAGCAGGAGGTAGAAAAGAAGGCCGTGGCAACCGTGTGATGCTGCTTGCCGACGCCGCCGAGGTCCTTGTAGTACTCCGTCTCCACGAACTCCTCTCCGACATTGCCGCCCTCGTACACCAACCTCTGAAAGAAACACTGATCGCGTCAATTTGAGGTGCCTGTTGCAGTTCAGACTTGGAGTTTCGGCGCGGAGGAAGAGGGAGAGAGACCTTAGTGTGGGCTTCGAGCTCCTGGAACTCGTCGAGCTCGGGAGATTTTTTTTTTAATTTTAACACTCTTTATAAATTAATTTTAAATTTAACACGTTTTTTTTTTCAAATCTAACACTTTTGGCCGCGTCTATTGCCATGGCGCGGTGAAACGCCTGTACTGCACCATAGTGATATGGCGGGAAGATGACGTAGCGAAAATCGAATGCGCTGACCGGTGATATGACAAGATCTTTCGCACCACCGATCTTGACATGTCAGCGACACGCCACGGCGCATGGTGAGGCAGTCCGCTTATTAATTCGCCGGCGGTGCAGCAGGCCTTCGCGTACGTGACTGGTGAAAAAAGATGGATGGAAGTGGCAGCACTGCAACACGGCACGCACACGTAAGGATGAAAATGGTATGAAAATATCTATCTCGAATCGCATTATTTTCTATATTTAATCCGATTGAATTCGTATTTTCAAACAAATTCAAAATCAGAACGAAAACGGTTTAAACATTTTTTCGACCGTTTTTTATTTTTCTACTTTTAATTCAGAATATCCCGAATTCGAAATTCGATTTCGAAATTCGGTTTAAACCAAATTTGGCCCACTGTAAGTTCAACCTTAGAAAAATTATCTTTTTCATACGATCTCGGATGAAGATGATTTTTATATGAAAATTGTAGCTCTCGACGAGATCTACAACTTTCTAGTTCTTAGTTTTTTCATTTGATGTCTTGAAGATGTTCAAAAAAATTAAAAAAAGTCAACAATATATTAAATGCGTACAAGCGCTTGTTACCTTAAAAAATCATATCTTCCTTACGTCGTGTCGAATGGAGATATTTTTTAAGAAAATTATAGGACTTGTTAATTATTATGTACTTATTAATTGTTATGCACTTGGTTCTACGGATCAATATTTCGTATTAATTTTTCGTATATCGATCGTGTTCGATATAATTCCACTTAAAAATTAATTTGTTCTCGAAATTTTTGATATTCTATAAGTTTATGTTCGTTTTTGTGTCCAACTTTATCGTTTTTATTTTTGTTTTCGTATTAAATGTAGAAGTACAAAACGATCGACAGGTTTTACTACCGTTTCGGACCGTTTTTCATCCCTACGCACACGGCCTGGCGCCTGGGTGGCTTTGCACTTGCACGGCACTCGGCACTCGGCACAGGCCAAACAAGGCAGGCGAGTGACCAGAGTACGTGCTCCTCCTGACAGGCAGTCAGGCAGATGAGATGTGATGTGACTACAGGTTTCGTACTGGCACCTCTTACACGCTGCACAGTGACCTGTAGAACCAGTTGACACGAGATGGACGTCTTGCCGTGGGCCGTGGGTAAAATATCAACACCAGGCGACCACTAATCGGTGACTGGTTCAGCTAATTCGTAAAGAATATCGCTGACTAGTTTTTTTTAAAAAAATACTGTTTTGATTGAAAATTTACGATCATTTACGATAAATCACAGCCAAATAAACAAGCTGAATATATGTTTTAGAATACGTTTTATTCATTTCTTAATTACTCCCTCCGTTTCACATGGAAGAATGCACTTCTGAATTTTCAAAGGGTAAAAAAAACCTAAATTTAATATACAAAGATATATTAATATTTACGATATAAAATAAGTATTACTAGATTAATTATGAAATATATTCTCCTACTAAACTATGTGAAAGACATAAATGTTAGAGGCTATTGTATTCTTGCCCCTATTTTGAATCACAATTGTGATTTTACCATTATTTTTTTACTTTGTGTTTTTACTCCTGCTTTTCCAAAACGACGGTTCAGTTTATCCCTACTCCGTGAACAGCAGGTAACGGTGTTAAAAAAGTTGACAGATGACAAGTTTGTCTTTCCGAATATTACGGTTTTGCCCCTATTTTCAAACCCCAATTGTGATTTTACCTCGACTTTCTTTCACTTTGTGTTTTTACCTCTACTTTTTCAAAATGAAGGATCCGTTTATCCCAATTCTTAACTCAGTTATCTACCTCCGGATCAAAGCAATTAAAAATTAATAAAAGCCCTTTAAAAAAGATAAATTTACCCCTTATCTCTCGGTCGTCTCTCTTAGGGTCGTTCTCTCAACGCTAGCAGCGTGGTGGTTTGGTCTTGGCAATGGAAGGGCGATGTCGTCGGTCGTCGGTAGCAAGCGAGCAAGCGCGTGATGCGTGCGAAGCGGAGGAAGCGGCGCGGGCACGCGCGGCTTAGCCTGACGTGGGCGCGCCGCCAGGCACGCGGCTCTGCATGGCACGGGCCCGCTGTTGGCCTTCCGCCCGCACCAAGCCATCCGCTAGAGTAGAGAGAGAGAGGTGGGTCTTCGGCTCCATGGTCGGCTACTTTCACGAGACGTGCGCTCGCGACGCCGGCCTGTAGGATCTACAGGAAGATATATAAGGCATAGAGGGGGGTGAATAGGCCTGTAAAAATTCAACTCAAAACTCTGTTAGAATAGAGGCGGCACTTCTTGGCTTTCAAAAGTAACCAGCACCGCGCTTTTCAGAAGTGGTGGCTTCGCGCTCTCACGAAAAAATAAATCTAACACAGTTGAGATTTTACAGAGATAAAACTGACCCCACTAGCTGCTTAATCCTGCAATAGAAAGACAAGATCCAGTTCAAAGACTAAATATCACAGAAACTTCACACAAGAGTGGATTAAGCAACTAAACCCTAACAACAGCTAGCAATAAGGTAAACCAGCAAGTAAACAAGATGAAGCACGCGAGACACAAGATTTATCTCGTGGTTCAGCTCACCACAAATATTTGCCTAAGTTCATGTTGTTGAGAAAGCCACAAAAGGCTTGAGCTTGCCACAAAGGCTTGCCTTACCCTTGTTCTCAAATCAAGAGAGTGAACTCTTGAAGTGAGGAGTGATTTCTTAGCTTTTGAATGAGGTTACAAACCTTCCAAGGCTGCCACACGAGTTGGCAAGCACAAGGGCGACGCCTAGCCGACTAGGAGCAAGCTCCAAGAGTAACAAACCCTAGAACCACCGGTCAAACGTGAACCAAATGCTCTTAGACTTTGGAAATCAATGGATCTTCTCTCCAATCTAGTTTTGCTGTATTTTCTCTCAAGTTTTGATGGTTGAAATTAAGGATTAGCTTGAGGGATGGAGGAGTAACAATGGAGGAGAGAGATGAGCTTTGGTTCTGTCTTGTTTCGAGCAGAATGACTGAGTGAAGAAGATGACCGTTGTGGGCCGGGCCTGAAGGGTATAAATACCCCTCTGAAAGCTCTAGTTTGGTTTTGGTGAATTGATGAAACCCTAAGTGCTAACCTAGTTTATGAAGTGATCATGAGATAGGTAGCACACTCCAAGTGGTGAAGCAAATGAAGATCATAGCATGATAAAGATGATGGCATGGTGATGATCAAGTGCTTCGACTTGGAAAGAAGAAAGAGAAAAACAAAAAACTCAAGACAAAGATATAATTTGTAAGAGCTATTTTGTTTTAGTGATCAAGACACTTAGAGAGTGTGATCACATTTAGGTTTGATAGCCCGTTTACTAAGAAGGGTGAAACTAGATCGGAATGCGGTTATCAAAGTGATAACTCATTGCAAATTTAGGATCTAGTGAAGTGCTAACACCCTTGATATTTGTGACTAGGTGTTTGTAGAGAGATGTAAATCTATCGGGAAAATGAAATGTCTATTTTAAATTCGGATGCAAAATATGGTTTGAGCAAGGGTGAAGAAGTAAGAGTTGAAATGGAATTGATCGAAATAATGACCAATCCTTCGTACATCTTAAAATCCATCTTAACCGACTCGAGCATTTGGGAACGGGGAGACGGCGTCGGTCAAGGTGGACGACTTTCCCTAAA